TTAATAGAAATTAGTAGTATAATCAGCTGTCTTGTCTGTGTGCATGTGTATATATAGTTTTTCTTTTCTCGTTTTTTTCTTCTTTCTTCTATCCCAGTTGTTCTTTCCCTTTCACTATATCTATTGTTTGATCAATTTTGCATGCCTATAATTTTGTACTCTATGTAACTACTTTGAATATAACAAATCACAGCATATTAAGCACTAATTTCCTACTATCTTTTTTTTATAAGATATATATATATATTATTTTTTATTTAAGAGGAAAAAGAGAAAAACACAAAACAAAACAAAGCAGTGTAAGGTTACACATAATACAGAACTACAAAAAAAACATAACAGTAAGAAATCACCTGTTAATAGATTACATATTATCATCTTGGAAATAGTTGCTCAAATCACAGTATCAAAGAATACAAAGTAGACATTCAAACAGAGAGACTGCAAACAGCTGTGTTCAATGATCCAAAAACATTAATATAGTCAGCTATTTAACACCCCTAAACACACTTGCTGTTATATCCGTTAGAGCTCTTTTTTTTTCCTCCCTCTCTTTTTTACAACAAAATTTACACATTTTGGATTTTATTACTCCTTAGTTCTTATTACTTTTTTGGGGGGGGGGAGAATAAAGTCAAATATGGCAAAACAAAGCTGTAAGTCAAAACCAAGGATAGACATAGCACATGATGTAGAACAGAGTACAAGGTTATTAACAATGGTTATCAACATTGTCTCTTGTTTCCTTAAGAGGAATTGTCTATCTCATTAGATATTATAAAGTTGGACAAAACAGTGGAGAACAAGACCAATAAAACTTAGGCATTGTGAACATTACAGGACTTCCAAAGGAGACAATAGTCAAACCAGAATGGGCATCTTTATGAATCTTATTGCCTTCAAATTAGTTGCCTATACCCTCAGACTTGCTACTATCGCACAGAATGGAACAGAGTCTAATCAGTCAAAACAAGATCTTGGGAGTATTACAGGACTTTAATTTCCTACTATCTTGAAAATTAAAAAAAAACCTCTATGTAAACTACAAGCCAAGGTAAAGTCACAAATTCACTATGCAAGCAGGTAACAGAAAACAGTGTTTGCTACCTAAATACAATCTTCATTGAGGTTCTATAGCCATTACTTTCAAGGATAGTTCAGGTATGCCTCTTCTATATGGGACTCCAGAGCCGTCACTATGATTCCACTTTTTACTCTATTCTGTAAACAATACCACGCAGCTATAAATTCCCAAGTGGAGAACTGGACTTCATGCTTTTCAATAACAGTAGAAACATTTTACTGCATAATCTCCTACTGACGGACATTAGGTTTATAGATTTTAAAATTTAGTGGGGTGACTATGATGGAAATACAGGAATAAATTCTTAAAAGCGCAAAGACTATCTCTAAAGGTAGATATATGTGAAATATTTTGATAAAAGCTGTTAAATATCTTCAAAAACAGATTCAATAGCTGGGAGTGGTGGTCCACACCTTAATTCCAGCACTGGAGAGGCTAAGGCAGGATTGTTGCAATTTAGAGTTACAGTCTAGGCTACAAAGTGAGTTTAAGGTCACCTTGAACTGCATAGTGAGACCTGTCTCAAAAAGACAAAACAAAACAAAATGAAACAAAACAAAACAAAAAACCCACACCAGACAGCTGATCTATTTTCCCTCTAAGAATATATGACAGAACTTATTTTCCCCATTTAGCACTGTCAATCTTTTCTTTGCTATATTTGTCAAACTGGTAAAACTAATCAGCAAACAGCTCACTGGCTTTATAAATTATATTTAGCATATTTTAAAATCTAGTGTTTTAATCAATTATAACTACAGAGGAAAAAAGCATGAAGAAGAGAGATGAAGAGATAGAAATACAAACTTCTTAGTAGTTGAGCCATTGATGAGTGCTATGGTACTTGACAGGCAGATATGGAGCAATTTGTCAAACTAGTTGATAAAATGAAGTCATCGTCAGAGGGATGTTGCATTTGGGTTTCAGAGTCTGTCGTGGCCTTATTACTTTGGTCATCAATTTTTCATACCAATCTTACACTGTGTTTACATGGAAAAAAACTTTTAAAAATCTTTATGAGACCCTGATAATACCTGATAGTAGCTCAATAACATTTCTGGTGTTGTTTTTTTTTTTCAATATCCTCATAATTTATAAAACATTTAAAACATATTTCTTCCAAGACAAATAATGTATATGGTTTCCTCTTATTTGGACCCTTTGTATTGCTGCTTTTAAGGCAGTATGTTATTCAAGTTCTAATAGACTAAACAATGAACAACTATAATAACAAAGCTCATATAGAATGGCAATAACAGCTTGTAGGCATCTTGGGTAAATGGGCTGGAGAGGGTTATGGAAATTGTATTTTTGGGATTGTCATGTATGCTCTTATTTTTCCAATGCTAAGTGTTTTCTAATCATGTTCTGCTGGTTTCATAGGTTTCATTATATCTTTTTAACAATTGTCAGAATAAGAGGTCATTAGCTGCTAGTCATATTTTCTATTATGAGATACTAATTATATAATAAGCTATCATCTTAAATTTCATGTATGGCTTCTTGATAGAATCTATCACAAAAGACTGCCAGAACCACAACTTTACACCAACGCAGCTGCAATCTTACATAAAAATTACTTCTGTGAGGACGTCTACCTACAAACTATTTAGTCTCTGAATGGCACCACCCTCATCATTGGTTGTTGTGACTAAGAACTATTCTTTTAGAATGCATAATCTTTCTCAGTTTTGCCTTTAAAAACTTTTCTTTTGATCCACTGATCCATTGATACATGGATTAAAGCAGTGATTTTAGTAACTTTAGCATTTTTCTTAAATTTGTTCATTGTGACTTTTCTATAAAAATATATAATATATATTAACAAAATATAGTATTTTTCCTTATCAACTCTGGTTATCCTTAAATACAGCTTGGATCGGAAAGGCAAGATATATGGTTTATTTTTCCCCTTTATTAATTTTAGCATAAATGGTACTTTGTAAACTCCAAAACTATCTAATTAGTATTTTTAGTGAAATACTAGGTTTTTAATATTTGATGTGCTTCAACATATTTGAAAATCTTTAAGTTAAATTCATTAAAAAGGAAGCTGATTTCAAATACTTCAACTTGAAATGTCTGGGTAGCCTGACAAGTTTTGTAACTTGACTCATCCTGCTTTAAAGAATTGGAATTGGATTTGAACCTGTATTTCTAACACAGTTGCCTTGCCCATTTTTTCATCTCAGTCCTGAACTGCAATTTTGAATTTTATAAAAACAAAAAAGTTTTCTTTACAAATTAATTTTTTAAATTGTGAGTTTTACTTTAAAAAGCACTGGCATTATGAGGCTAATCTCTGCAATTCCTTCTTTATGCCTTGCATATTGGCAACATTTTTGTATAAAAGAACCAAAGACGTAAAAATAATAGGATTCTTTTCTGCCAAAAAGGAGAACATCATTTAAAAAAGGAATCTGAATTTCAGGCCCAGAACTCTTCTAAGCCTAGATTGAGTCACCAGATGCTTGGAGCAAGCTCTGTTACCAGTGAAGTCACTACTAGGCCCTCTGGAGTAAGGAACACCCTCTGCTGGGTGGGCATTCTTTGCTGCTGAGGCAGAGCTGGGACCATCACAAATGTGGAAGAACAGGTGAGCAGACAGGTATTTAGATGTGATTTAAATTTGCAGGATACAGCATAGACCAACAAGTGTGAAGAGAACAGAGATCTAGTTCTTTGTCTATTTAGTATGGTTCTGCTTACTTAGAGTTGAGATGAAGAATGCTTTATTTGGTTTAAAAGTCAGCAACTACCAACCTTTTAGGTTTTCCCCCCACCACGTGTTTTAAACAGCAGTAACTTAAATATAGATCTAAATAATAATAAAAAAACATAGTGAGAAAGTCACTCCAGCAATGATAAGTGCATCAAACCCTGAGGTCAGTAAACTCCAGTTTCATTTACTTTCTTTACAAAACTTTAAAGATTTAATATGTGCTAGAGACTAGAAACTTCAAGACAAATAACTAAATATTTGCTACAGTAAAGTGGCTCAGTTGTGTCTTTAATCTTCCTCTGCCTTGGTAAGTGGAAACTCATCTAGCTTTGTTTTAAATTAGTGTAGTACAGCTTAGTCACAGGTATAGGTTCTCTTGAGCGATTTCCTAGCAGTGTTATACGTTGTATTTACACATCTGAAACATCAGATGGCACTGGGCAATTAAAATTTATTGACCGAAATATCCTTATGCGGAGCCTGAATGTAGTTTTAAAACTTTCAAGTAGATTGAAACGCATCAAATACGCAAAATTCTAGTACTTCATCAAGAAAATAATTACTTTTGGAGGCCGCCAGGCAGCACTATTATTTCTAAAATTTAATAAAGGGAGGAAAGGGAGCCAATATACTCTTTCCTATACAATTTGTGTTTCGGGATTAAAGAAAGAAAACTACAAAAACACCAATTAGATAAATTGATCTGAAAGTTTCCCAAACCTTTCGGAATGGAGCATCGAAGGGATTAAGATAAAAGGAAGCGCCTGGCGAGTTTAAGGGTGGACTGCAAAATCACTCTTTAGGTCGAGCGGCATATTCTGGCTTTAGAACGATCCACGGATCCACTAATGGAGACCAGGGCCGCAGGGGCCCATGGCTCTTCTAGATAAAGATCACAAGCACTTGCTACATTGTAGGTGACCTGGCGCATGAACCTGGCCCGGGTTATGAAGGCGACACAGCTGTTTTCCTGGTCCCTTTGACAGTAAATCCACTTCCCTTGTCACCCAGCCAAAAAGTGGGAGAAACCACACAGATTAGCGGCGGCAGAGCCACTCCGGAAGTGGACCAGAAATCCAGTGTGCATGCTACAGAACACTTCCGGGTGCGAGGCTGGGGGCGGGGCGATGCGTAGCGCGCCTTGGACGTCTCTGACGTGTGATGCGCCTGCTCCCTGTGGGTGGAGCGGGCGACTCTGTAGAGGTCAGGCTACAGCTGTCGGCGTCTCGACGTTTGCTTCTCTCAGCGCACTCAGCTGCCTGGCGGCTATTGCCACAAATTTTGTTAGTATTTCTAAACTCTGAATTTCCACTCTGCTGTGAAGCATCTTTTTGTTTGTGAGAAAGAAGAAGTTCAAGGAGAGTTTAAAAAGACTTTAGGGTCGGGCAAAGATGGAAGAAGGCCCTCAGGGTCCCGACTGGGATAGTGATGAAACCGTGATTGAGGGGTCAGTGGCAGAGAGCGACCTGGAAGATGATGAGCTGCCCTGGAGAAGGTGACCGCTGTGCGATGCAGCCATGGGATGGAGCCCTGGCGCTGGGCCCGCGGGGTTGGGTGGACTCGGGCTGGAGCGTGGGGTGGGCCAGTGTGTGGGTGTGGAAAGCAACAAGCGCCCACCGCCCTCTTCCTGGCTAGGGAAGACTTGAGGTGCATGATGGGTGACTTTTGGCATTACCGTGAAGTCTTGCCTCTTACACTGGGGCTGGAGGTACTACTGCACGGGCAGAAAGTTTTGAGTCTCAATTCCTTTAATACATTCTGGTTTATGGAATTTCGCTCAGGAAAATGTGTGAAGGGGAAACTGGTTCTTACCACTTTTATTATGAATATTGTATTAGGATTTTTAGAAAGTTGATATTTGTTGAGCGTGATATTTGTTGAGTATATTCTTTGGGCTCCATGCTGGAAGAAAATTTAAAACATAGAGGTTACTACCTTTGAGAAACGTTCAAGACAAGAAAAAATACTTCAATGGGTTTATTTCATTATAACGTGGGAAGTCTGGGAGTGTATGTGTGTCTAGGATTGTTTAGGAGCCCAAAGGTCTCTTAGTTCAACCTAGGTCATTGTCAATTTGTTGGGTTTGATTTATGAATATAAGCTTGAGAGGTGGATCAGGAATTAGCCAGACGATGAAGACTGTTCTTGGACAAGAAACCACATGGGTAAAAGTGTAGAGGTGAGACCAACAGTCCAATTGTATAGAATTGTAAAGTGGGGAGAGGCAAAAGAGGAAGCAGGGATGTAAATGTGTTTTCTGCTGCGTCTGTACTGGTCACTGCACCCACTTATTTGAATTACTATTCTTCTTTTTCCTGCTTTCGAAACTTTTTATCTTTCATTCTCAAAAGTTTGATTACAATGGGAACAACTTTGTGTTTTTTCTCTTTTGGGTTCATGGAGCATGGTGAATCTGTATATTTATGTCTTTCATGTCAAGTTTAGGAAGTTTTCTTTTTTCAAATATATTTTCCTGCACCAGTTTCTTCTTTCCTTCTGACACTTCAGTGATATGAATGTTAGATCTTGTGACACTGTTCCCCAAATCACAGAGCTTCTATTCACTTAAATATTTAGACTTACATAACTTCTAATGCTATATTTTCAGGTTTACTCACGCTGTCCTTTGTCATTGCTATTCTGTTGAGCTCATTTGGCGAATTTTTTATTCCTGATCAGTGTTTTTCTTCTAAAATATTTGTGTGGTCCTTTTAAAAGGTTTTTAAAATTTCTCTCCTCAGTACCTTCCATCCATTTTACTAATGTTTATTTTTATTCTAAGGAGGATGGTTATACTAGCTGCTTGAAAGTCTTTGTTTTGTAAGTCTGGCAGCAGGGTTATAGGGTTAAGGATCTTTTTCATGTCGAGTAATTTTGGATTGTATTCTGGAAATTTTGAATTTTATGTTGTGGATTTTTGGCCTTGTTAAGACTCTTAGAGGCATGTCCAAGCTTTTTACTTACCTGAGATACATTCAGTGACGAGGATTTGTCTTAGGTTCCAAATAAAATATATGATATATTTAATGTATATAAGTAACAAACTTCCCTTTTAAAATGTTGTTAAATAACATTAAAGAAAAAGAAGGCAAATGCTCTGCATGCCACAGATTTGACATGCTTGCTGGGTAGGGTGTTGTTTTTGTTTTGACTAGGTTCAGACTGCATACTTTGTTTTGCTTGTTTGTTTTTGAGACACGGTCTTGCTATGTACTTCAGGTTGGGTTTGAACTCACTATGTAACCGAGGCTGGCCTTGAACCTGTGGCAATCCTACTGCTTCAACCTCTCGAGTGCTGGGATTACTGGAGTGTACCACCAGGGCCAGCTGTTTCGCCTTCTGTATGTGATGGTCATGTCACTCTTTCCTAATCTATTTGAATCTGATGTAAGATTTTAATCTGGGTGTTGGGCAGTAGATGATATTGTAGTTCAGTTTCTTAAGCCTTTGTTGTATTTCCTAGGTTCTGCACCACATGTGGATAGCTAAGGGTTTTGCTTGGTCCTTTCATTGGGTCATGTACAAGTGATTTCCCTTTCTCCTTTTTTTGCCAGGAATTTTTCCAGACAGGATCTCACTATGTTGCTGGCCTTCAGTGATCTTCTTGCTGCTGCCTGCTAAATGCTGGGATTACAGGCATAAGCCATCACAGCTGCCTGTTGCCAGGGTTCTTACAAGCTCTTTTTCATGATATCTTCTCTATCTCTTGTACCCACTTGCTGTTTCTTATGATCAGAATGACAGGTTTCTCTTAATGTCAGCCTTCTCATTAGAATAGTTCCCTAAACCTGGAGCGACCTTCAGAGCAGTGTTAGGAAAAGAAGTGGGAAAAAAAAAGAGATTTCTCACCATATTCTTTAGGCTACAAAGACTTTATGCTGCTATGGTTGTGAACAGTATAGCTTTGATGTTGGCTGAGAAGTAGGGGAAGAACAAAGAAAACCTGAGATTCCTTACACATCTTCTAACAGATTCCCCTTTCCTTAGTCTTCTGGTTAGAAACAGGGTTTTTGTTTTTTTTTGTGTGTCCTCTGTGTGGTTCTGGTATTAGGCCTTCGATTAAACCTGGAAGACAAACAAACAACCTGCTCCCCAAAAAACAAGACAAAGACAAAATAAAAAATAAATTGAAATTCACTATTTATACATGGTTATTTAGATTTCAACTTTGGCCCCCCAAATACCTGCTATTATTGACTTTTCAGAGTTCTGAGATAGCTTTTAAAATATGTTTTCCTGCAGTATTTAGTTGTGAGTAGAGAAATAGGTTATAAATACCTCACTTTATCTTGGCCTGCCAATCTTTTTCTTTAATTGATTTTTAAGCATTTGTTTCAGTGTCATAAAACATTATTTTTTAGACATTATAGCCTTAAGTTAAAAATTAGTGTTCTTTCATTAAAAATCTAAGCCAGTGCTTTTAGTCTAAGCCAGTGCTTTTAGTTTTTGTTTTCTTCTTCATCTTTATTAACTTGTATGTATCTTGTTCTTTGTTTTTATATGTAAGTTCTAATTTTGGGATGAGAAATACAGTATAGTAGAGATCTCCAGTAGGCAGAACATTATATAGTTGCATATAAACAATGCTTAAGAAGTTGTAACAGGCTGGAGGTTTAGCTCAGTGGCACAAGCGCCTGCTGGGCAAGTGCGAGATCATGAGTTTAAGAAGTTTTGTAGCTACTAAAATCTTTTTGCTGAGAACTGAGAGTTTGGTTCTCTTCAGGAGTGAAAGAGGCTAGGGTTTTGGAGACTCAAGATACCAGGTGTTAATTTTGTGTGATAGAGCACTGAAGAGCTCAAACTTTGCTGTTTTTGCTTCTACGTCTGGAAATTTTGATCAGTCTACTTTGGGGTTCTGGAGGAGTTGCTATTAATCTGTAAAAATTCAAGCGGCTATTACCTTTTTAGGAGTTGGTGAATGATGGAATTGAGCTCAGGGGAACTATACTGCTGAGATACATTCTTAGCCTTTTTTATTTTTTAATTTGGGACAGCGTGGTACTAAGTAACTTGTATTTTGTTTCTAATGTATGCAGTGTATGTTCGTGTTTGGGAATGGAAAATAAAAGATTTAGCAATATAAATTTTCTGACTAAAAGTTGTTTTTTACTTCTAAATCATCTGTAAGGTTTTAAAATTGGGTAGTTGTTATGATTTGTGTTTGGATGTTCCCCTAAAGCCTCATGTAGTCATGGAGGCAGCTGAATCTAGTGATTATGGTTGGTCATTGTCTAGCATTGGAATTGGTGGCGTGAGTGCTGTACTCACCCGGGGTGGGTAGCTGGCATACAATATAAGGAAGGAAAGGTGGCCTGCTTTTGCCCTTTTGCGCTTTTCACTTTTGTTTGCAGCCGCCATGATCGGTTGCTCCTCCGCCATTCCACCCTGCCTTGGATCCAGCTGAGTATGAACTGAAAACTCCAAAAAATTGTTGAGCTAAATAAACTGTTTCTTCTTTCATTTTGGGCATCAGGTATTTTGTCTCAACAATGATAGAAAAGTAACCAATAAAATAGTAATCTGCAAAGTGGGATGATATGAATTAATAAAAGGAATGAAGTATACCTCTACCCTTTAGAACAGTTGCTCTGTTAGATATATTGTTGAGGAAAAGGAGAGAAAAATACTTTTATAATATTAGTGCCTATGTAAGAATACATTTGTATATTAAGAAAATATTGGAGGCATAAGTCATATAATTAAAAAGAATGGAGAAACAGAAGGTAGGTGAATGGAGAGGGACAGAAGAATCTGTAGATATAAATACATCTTGTGTATTTGTCTTTGGAACAATGTAAATGTTTTATGCAATTTAAATCAAATTAGCATGAAAAAATTCCTAAAAAGCAAAAATTAGATAAAAATCCCAATTATGTCTTGATTTGATATCATAACTACATGAAAAGGATTATTTTATAGGCCTTTTATAAAACTTAGTTATGCCAAACAAGATAATACTCTAAGGACATAAAGAATTGAAAAATAACTTTCTTCCATAATCTGGTATTCTAGGCTCCATGAGAATAACCAGATGCAAGCCTAAGGTACTATATACCATTAGCCTGAATTACTTTATACTCAAAAACTAGTATTTTTATTTTGAGTGCTTTATATTGAAAAACTAATGCTGTTATCAGTTTTGTTGGTCTGCCTTAATATGATTATATAAATTAATTTTGTTATAGTTCTAGAGGCTTGAAGTTCACTGTTTCTCCTGAGGCCTTTAGGCTTGATTTATAGACAATGCTTTTTCCTTGTGTCCTCACATGGACATTTCTGGAGTCTGTAAGGAACCCGGTACATTTGATGAGGTCCTTGTGACTTCACTAATTTTGCTTTAAAGGCTTTATCTCTCAAATCTATCTATAATCACAGTAGGAGTTAAGATTTTTGGAGGTATGGTAACTTAGTCCATAACAAATGATGAGCCCTTTGAAGAAGCTCTTACTAGGTAAAGAAGGGACAGTTTGATCATTGTTAAGAATAATAACAGCA